AAATTATAATCTGACTTACATTCAAGAATTTTAACTACATAACTAAATAAATAAAAATTAAAAAGTGAAGATAAGAATATATTAATTTTATAGATAGCTAAAATTTGAGTATTATACATAAATAATCGCTACTATTCAACAAATATCTTATAATTTAATTAACTAAATTTCGATCAACATTAATCTTAATTAAAATTATTAATTTTACTAATCCTCATCAAAAAGTTCATCAGTGCTCCCCCTCTCTTCCTCCTCTTTCCAATATAAAACCCAGCCCAAAAACCCCTCCCTTTCCTCCACCTCCCCTCATGGAAGAACTATCAACTCAAACGCAAACCCTAACCCCCCACGAGCTCTCCACCCTCTCCCCCATCATTCACGCCCACCACACCTTCCCCCACCGCCGCCCCGCCACCTGCACCTCCCTCATCATCCAACGCATCCCCGCCCCTCTCTCCGCCGTCTGGCCCATCATCCGCAGCTTCGACAATCCCCAACGCTACAAACACTTCATCAAAAGCTGCAGCCTTTCCCCCGGAGACTCCTTCTCCGTCGGCTCCGTCCGCCAAGTCACCGTCGTCTCCGGCCTCCCCGCTTCCACCAGCACCGAACGGCTCGAAATCCTCGACGACGACCGCCATATTCTCAGCTTCAGCGTCACCGGCGGCGAGCACAGACTCAATAACTATCGCTCTGTGACCTCCGTTAACGAGTTCCGCGGCGACGATGGAAGTGTTTATACTGTTGTGTTGGAGTCTTATATCGTAGATGTGCCCGAAGGCAACACGAAGGAGGATACCAAGATGTTCGCGGATACGGTTGTGAGGCTTAATTTGCAGAAACTTGCTTCTGTAGCCGTTGCTTCTGCAAATTCTAACTCTTCTTCTTCTTCTCCTCCTTCTTCTTCTTCGGCTGTATGAGATTATACGTACGTAATTAAGTGTTCGAGTTGTATATTATATCTATATCTATATGCATATCCATGCATGAATTAATAAAGTCAACAATCTATGTTATTTTATACTCTGCGTTATGTAATTTTTTTAATCAATTTGCATGAGACGAAATTTGTATTTTACGCCATGAAATAATTGAATGGTTTTTTACTCTTAGGATTCTTTTGGTATAGCTTTTATACTGATTTTTAAAACGATTTTTTTAGTAAAAAATTTCAAATTCAAAAATTTTTTTAACTAAAAATCTGTTTTAAAAAGCAAGAAGAAAACAGTCCAAAATAAAATCTGAGTGATATAGATTTCATGCTTGCACTTAGAGGCTTACACGCAATCTCAGCCTTATCCCAAAGCATTAAAGTTCATGCATGCAAGGCGCATCTGATTAGGGTGGTTCGGTGCATGTCAGCACAAGGAAAATATTTCAAAGCACTGATTATTGCTTTGGCCTAACATTTAATTAGCCATTAAGCTTAACTAAATGAAATAATAGTAATTACATATACTTGCATGGGCAGAACTATAAGATTAATTATTCTGTGTGGACACCAAATATCATTCGAATATGCTATGTCGCCCCTTCGCTCGGTACCGCCGCATTGTAGTTGCTCTAGATGACGTTCTGCGTTTGATCTCCGTCCAGAATAATTTCTAGAACTATAAAGGGAGGGGGAGAGAGAGAGATAGAGATAGAGGAGTTGAAAAACATGTGAAAAAGGGTTAATGATTTATTGTGAGACATGTGAACCAGAGGCAGAGAGGCCAAGCTGCACAAATGTTGGGTTTGTGTTCTGTCTCGTGCATTGCATCTCCTTCTCTTTGGGAGGAGGAGAAGGTATGACCAACAAGAAAAGGACGACCAACATCCTTTTCTTCCACTAGTTTTACTTTGTTTGAGTGTTAATGGATTCATATTTGGTTGATAGGGCTATCAATCTATGAATTCTACATCAATTAAAACTAATCAAATATAATGAAAAAAAAAATCAGAATATTCTTATCAAATTTTTAGCTAAGATGAGGATTAAAATTATTGGATTTATTTTGAGCTAAATACAATATAAAATTAAAATAATTATCTTATCTATATAAATTTTAGTCTCATATTTTCTTAAGAAATTATAAATAAAATAATATTTTTAGTTATGTTTTTTTATCATATTTATATTAAAAAAAACAAATGTAGCTAATGATTTGAGCGAAAATTTTAATTATAATTAATTTAAGGAAAACAAGGATAAATATTCATTTGTTCACAAAACATATAATTTATATAAATATGTCTAAAAAATGCTCTTACTTTCATATAAAATTATCATCTAATAATATAATTGGTAATTGTATTATATAAAAAAAATGCTATAATATTTCAAAATTTTATTAAAAAACATCTCTTTGGCTTGACGGGGTCCACCAATCCTCCTAAATAATTCAACCATCCATTCATTTAATTTTTAAAAATGCTAATTATCAAATTACAAATTTAATTTATCACAAATCAGCTCTTTCTTAAAAATAATTTTCAAAAATATTTATAAATTTAATTAATTAACACCAAACATTCACCATAAATGTACTAGGAAACAACAAAACCTCCTTTTCTGATCCACCCTCCCTCTACCGCCTGCCACATGGCATGCAACGGCTGGGCTTCACGAGGGGCTGCGGTAGTTGAACAGAGAGAAGTTCCGGGCACTCGTGTACACTCCCATGCTCCCCGTGATCCCAATCAAGAACATTTAAGGCCTGATCTTTGCTCCAACATTTATGATTAATAAATTTTGGTTTCAATCATAAATCTTAAATGAAAAAATAATGAGCTATTTTATGAAAACTATTCAATTTAAATTTATTTGGGAAATATATATAAATTTTATTTGTAAAGTAGGCTAAATAATTTAGCTACAAAATTTAGAAGGGGGGTTTACATACATGCCACTTTATTTCATGATATTTACGTATCTAACACTCAAATTTTTAAAATTTCATAGCTACTAATCATATAAAACTTTAATATCAAATATACCACTCATATACTTCATTATTACCACTCATATCACTTTACAAATTTTAATATTTCATTTTATGCACCCATATTTATTCTATGGGTCTATGGGTGGTAGGAATGTGATATTAAAGTTTTAGATGTTAGATATATAAATAGCATAATATAAAGTGGTATGTATGTAAATCTCCTAATTTAAAATTAATTCATCATCATATCTTAGTTGGCCTATATTAAATTTAACCATAATTTTAACTTTTGAAGATTTGTGATTATTGATGATTTGATTGAATTTTAAGTGTGTATATATATATATATTAAATGAGGCTAAATATTCAAATTAAACCATAATTACATTTTAATTACCCACACTACTGAAAAAACACTTAATTAAAATTAAAATTTATGACCAAAAAAAACTTTTGTTCATATTATTAAATGACTAATAATTCTATACTTAAGCTTTGTTTAAATTGCTTTTTTGTTTTTATTTTATTATCTAAAGAACTTTATGAAATGAACATGTATTTATGATCATCTGAATTGAATTATATATGGATCTTTTCATATTTTCATACGATAGCATAACAATATATTCAATAAGGTTTTGCATCAATATATATTTTATATAAAATGAATCATAAATCTTTATAATTATATATATATTAATATATATATATATATGTTGCGTGCTAGAATATACGCGGCGGTAGAGTTTGTAAAATTCGCGTCCAAGCGTTGTACGAGTATTCAGCACACAAACAGAAAAAGAGAATACGAACACCAGATTTTTACATGGAAAACCCAAAAAGAAAGAAACCAACGGGGCTCGCCAGTTGAAAAATTCCACTAGTGTTTTGCAAATTACAAATGGCTAATTCGTCCCACAAGTCGGGGCAATCAGATTTATAATTCGTTCTCTCAAGCAAGTTTACAAAGTTCTGCAAATTCCAGGCGTTTCCCGGAAAAATCCGGCCAGAGTTCCGCGTCTTCAGGCAGCGGGAAGAGCTCCGGCGGTGGTCGAGAGAGCTTCCAACAGCGCTTCGGTTCCTTGTTTCGACCCATTTTGGCTCGGATTGGTTATCTTTGGTGTCGTTGGGTTCGTATTTTTCAAGACGCTCAAGTTTGACTATAAGCTCGCTGAAATTGGAGTTCGGATGCTCCTGAAATTAATTTTTGAAGTTTCAACTAGCTTTTGCCTCGAGATTCGTGCCCGATCAAGCTAATTTTTGTGATGCCGTATTAATACTTAATATCTAAATTTGAATATTTGCTTATATAATATTTTAAAGTTTTCATCATGTTAAAATAAATATATGAAAAGATATATAATATTTTAAAAAATAAATATTTAAATATTATTGTTGAATGCTAAAGGCTAATGATCACGCTATTATCACCCAAAATTTCTCAATCCCAACTTCCTTGCTCCCAACAACTCTCTACCTTGTTACTATTTTTAATTTAACACGCATATTTCATGTATAACTCAAAATAGTTTTTATGTAAAACTTTTAGTAAACATTAATAGTTTTTGGATTTTACAAATACATTTATTTTTTTTACAAATATTTTAAAAAATATTTTATAGTTCATGAAAATTAAGTACAAATAACCTATATATAGAAACTATATAGAACTTTTATAGTATCTTCCAATGCATAGAACTAAACTTGTTATGGAGGAGAATAAGAGTGAGAGTAGTCTTATTTGTAATGACTTCATTAATAGGAAAAAAAATAGCATGGCTGCATGTAGCTATTTATGCAAGAGTCAAAAATATTATCTAATTAGTAGAATTTTTTTATTGAATGGTGTTGAATGCTTTATTAAGGGCTTCATTTGAGACAGTTTCTTATCATTTTCAAAGCAAACAACTTTTTTAGTAAATTTTAGTTCAAAAAATTTATACTTAAAAACTGCTTTAAAAAATAATAAAATGTGTCTCAAACGAAACCTAAGAATGGGTTAGAAAACTAATTGATTAACTACATCTAGTGATTAGAGATATCATATTTATGAGCATTCTTTATGGTATGATAGCCTATCTAATTTCTTCCTCTATGGATGTTTAAGATTTATTCTAATTGTCCACTCTACCTTTGAGAATATGGTATATATCTAGCATGATTCTACTAGTGTTTGATAGATTACAAATGACTTGCTCGTCCTTAAAATTGAGGAACATATTACAGAAGTTACCATACGGGTTGAATTAATCTAGTGAAGATTAAAGCTTTGATGGAAATTTGGCGAGTTTCGGTGGCATGCAGGAAATTCAACGGTTGCAAACCGGCGGTCAAACCGATACCGACAACACGATGATGGTAGGATGAAATCTGGCGTCAGTCCGATGGCCGGGCAAAAGTCCGATGTCAATCAATGACCGGATGGAAAGCTGAGGTGTTAGTCGGTGACCGAGTAAAAGTTCGGGTGTAGGGGGTGGTCGGGGGAAGTCCGACGTTAGTCGGTGGCCGGCAAAGTCCGGGGATACTCGGTAAGCATGGCTTTAAGTCCAGCGGTGGTCGAGGAGGAGTTTGGTGGCAAGAGAACTCTAGTTCTCTCTCTCTCTCTCTCTCTCTCTCTCTCTTTCTCTTCTCTCTCTCTCTCTCTCTCTCTCTCTCCCTCTCTCTCTTCTTATTTGAGTTCCCTCTTCTATGAGGAATGAGGTGTTGTTTTATAATTTTCAGAGAGCGGCATGACTAGTAAATATGAGGAGATCAAGGTAAGTTGG